CTTTTTGAATTATGAAAAACTAAAAGACGCACAATACAGATCATTTTAGATAAGGTAGATTAAATCAATTAGTTTCAGAACGTTGCTAATATACAGCTTCAAACAACTTTAGATGTTGGAAGGCTCAGGTACCTTCACATGTTCAATTGTAGTTCTAATGTCACGAATCAGGAATGTAGTGTGCAGATAAAGCCAGTTGCATAGCTGTAGATCAGGTTTGGTGGTATTTTATTTAACCCGAAATAAATACACAAACCTCAAACTGAAATAACGATCTAGGATAAGGACACAGTCACCAAATAAAGACCTGACTTTGAACAAAACGCTACAAAGTGGTTAAATTAATCCTATCTAGCCCTGTGCACCCCACTAACAGCCCTGTGTCGAACAAATCTTCACCACTCTTAACATCTATTTAGTATCTATGCAGTATTTATACATATTAATATCTCTAATATCACCCAAAATACATATACATCATAGTTCTACTGTACCACAACTTTTCTGGCTTTTTTATTAAAGCTCTCATTTTCTGTTAACGTATTTGCATTTAGACACTTAAAAAAGTAATGGTGCATATAAAAACATCACCCTGCAAAACGTACAGTAAATAATTCATGAAATGACACCCTGAATTACTGAGTAATTTATATAATTTCATGGCAATCTGGAAGTATTATATAGATTTAATTTTGTGAGTTTATAAAGGCTAAGTGAATTCATACACTATCATACATTCCTGATAACAACTGGCAGTTTTGAGCAATTTACTGTAATCTCGTTATCTAACAATGACCTTTTGAGATTCATATTATCAAAGGTAAGAATGTGGCTGACAGATCAAATAAAGCATCTAACCTTGAAATAACCTGAAAATAGGTAGACTCGGAAAGATTTTTTCGCTTGTTACCAAAACAGAATTCATCGAGGGAGTAGCACCTAATGAGAATGAGCTGTAAAATGATAAAAGCTGCTATATCCAACTAAAATCTATAGTCAAACAGTAAATAATAAAAATGAGAATAGAATCAAACTATTAAACATTCCGGGTAAGACATCTGTGACATTGTGTTAAGTGACAAAATTGCAGATACATTACAGTATAACAGCATTTATGTAATAGTAATATTAATGTAATAGTCATGAATTTAAATCAACTTGTGGATGTGCCAAACCTATCAAATATAGTCATGAAGTTTAATAAACTCGTGGATGTGCCAAACCTATCAGTTATAGCCAAGTTGAATAAACTTTTGGATGTGCCAAACCTATCAGTTATAGTCATGGAGTAGGATGTATTATCTTGGCAAAGAAAAAATACCCATCTCAGGTTAAGATTTGTGCACAAAAATGTAAAGAAATTATTTTTCAGGAATTTTTCTGGGGGGGCTTGTGAAACATGCTATCCACAGATTTTTTTTTCTATGCTGTTTCTTAGAGGCCCTCTGCATGAAAATGAACCCTGAACTCTGACTTTGCAAGTATCATGGTGATAATAGAGGAAAGTCTGCAACTATGGTACTGCTCCAACAAATAAATGTATTAAAACGCACACAGCAACTTTGTTACAATCCAACACAGATCTTCGTCAGGTCATGCATTACCAGAGGTGCAGACTTTCCTCTATAATTAGCATTATTCACTGGCCTTTCCTCAATTGTTATTCACTGGCCTTTCCTCTATAATTATTCACTGGCCGTTTCTCTAATTATTCACTGGCCGTTTCTCTATAATTATTCACTTGCCTTTCCTCTATCATTATTCACTGGCCTTTCCTCTATAATTATTCACTGGCCGTTTCTCTAATTATTCACTTGCCTTTCCTCTATAATTATTCACTGGCCTTTCCTCTATAATTATTCACTGGCCGTTTCTCTAATTATTCACTTGCCTTTCCTCTATAATTATTCACTGGCCTTTCCTCTATAATTATTCACTGGCCGTTTCTCTAATTATTCACTTGCCTTTCCTCTATAATTATTCACTGGCCGTTTCTCTAATTATTCACTTGCCTTTCCTCTATAATTATTCACTGGCCTTTCCTCTATAATTATTCACTGGCCGTTTCTCTAATTATTCACTTGCCTTTCCTCTATCGTTATTCACTTGCCTTTCCTCTATCGTTATTCACTGGCCTTTCATCTATAATTATTCACTGGCCTTTCCTCTATAATTATTCACTGGCCTTTCATCTATAATTATTCACTGGCCTTTCCTCTATAATTATTCACTGGCCTTTCCTCTATAATTATTCACTTGCCTTTCCTCTATCGTTATTCACTGGCCGTTTCTCTATAATTATTCACTGGCCTTTCCTCTATAATTATTCACTGGCCTTTCCTCTATTATTATTCATTGGCCTTTCTTCTATCATTATTCACTGGCCTTTCATCTATCATTATTCACTGGCCTTTCCTCTATCATTATTCACTGGCCTTTCCTCTATCATTATTCACTGGCCTTTCCTCTTATTCATTTCCCTCTATAATTATTCACTGGCCTTCCTCTATCATTATTCACTGGCCTTCCTCTATAATTATTCACTGGCACTGGCCTTTCCTCTATCATTATTCACTGGCCTTTCCTCTATAATTATTCACTTGCCTTTCCTCTATCGTTATTCACTGGCCTTTCCTCTATAATTATTCACTGGCCTTTCCTCTATAATTATTCACTGGCCTTTCCTCTATAATTTATTCACTGGCCTTTCCTCTATCATTATTCACTGGCCTTCCCTCTATAATTATTCACTGGCCGTTTCTCTATCATTATTCACTGGCCTTTCCTCTATAATTATTCACTGGCCTTTTCCTCTATAATTATTCACTGGCCTTTCCTCTATAATTATTCACTGGCCTTTCCTCTATAATTATTCACTGGCCGTTTCTCTAATTATTCACTTGCCTTTCCTCTATAATTATTCACTGGCCGTTTCTCTAATTATTCACTTGCCTTTCCTCTATAATTATTCACTGGCCTTTCCTCTATAATTATTCACTGGCCGTTTCTCTAATTATTCACTTGCCTTTCCTCTATCGTTATTCACTTGCCTTTCCTCTATCGTTATTCACTGGCCTTTCATCTATAATTATTCACTGGCCTTTCCTCTATAATTATTCACTGGCCTTTCATCTATAATTATTCACTGGCCTTTCCTCTATAATTATTCACTGGCCTTTCCTCTATAATTATTCACTTGCCTTTCCTCTATCGTTATTCACTGGCCTTTCCTCTATTATTATTCATTGGCCTTTCTTCTATCATTATTCACTGGCCTTTCATCTATCATTATTCACTGGCCTTTCCTCTATCATTATTCACTGGCCTTTCCTCTATCATTATTCACTGGCCTTCCCTCTATCGTTATTCACTGGCCTTCCCTCTATAATTATTCACTGGCCGTTTCTCTATCATTATTCACTGGCCTTTCCTCTATAATTATTCACTTGCCTTTCCTCTATCGTTATTCACTGGCCTTTTCTCTATAATTATTCACTGACCTTTCCTCTATAATTATTCACTGGCCTTTCCTCTATAATTATTCACTGGCCTTTCCTCTATCATTATTAACTGGCCTTTCCTCTATCATTATTCACTGGCCGTTTCTCTATAATTATTCACTGACCTTTCCTCTATAATTATTCACTGGGTAAAGTTAGATGTGAATGTTTACATCTCTTTGGCAGCATCATGCTCATACCAAGTTAACTACATGAAACCTGAATGACATGATTTTGGTTGAGACATAGTTATTAATTAGCTTCCGGCAAATGAAAGGAATGGAGTACAAACAATAGATATGGCATCAGGCCAAAGATTCAGGCTTTAGAGTCATCTAAAAAGATGTGGACAAAACACCTGGAACTGACTAATCGGACCAACGTCACATCTACTTATAAAAGGTGCTCACAAGTCAGGGTGACCCTTTAGGATGCATAAACACAGCAGGAGGTTCTGAATTTACCACTACGGAAACGGTAAACATACACATTTGCATTTATTTCATCAAGACATTTGAAAAAATCAAGAGAAATTCACAATAATGGGTAAGTATTTAATATTTATTCTTAACTTCCAATTTCTGTATACTTCGGAGTTAGGATCTATAGCCTTTAAAATAAAAACATGTAAAAGCTTTCTTTAAAAATGCACTGTTTTTGCAATACATTTTTAGTTTATTACTAGAATTTACAGACTTCAATTTGATTTGACACCAACCTTCATACACTCTTAAGGTTCCTTAAGGCATGCACAGAGTTGGTTACTTTTTCAATTTTATGCATTACAGTTACAAGTTACTTGTGTAAAATTGAAAGCAGTAACATTTCTTTTGGATTACTTGAACTTTGTAACGTAACATAGTTTTTATTACATTAATAGTAAGAGACATTATAAGACAGATAGGAATATAGCCAATTGAGTAACATCTATCGCCAGATCAATCAAGCAGTAAAAATGTTTGGCTTGCTTAAAAATGTCCTTGTTTGTGAAAGAAAAGCTATTTTTTGTTTATGAGAATATCTAAATTATCAGAAATACACTGTAGACATTGCTGATGTTGTAAATAACTATAGATGGAAACAGCTGGTTTTTCAATATAAAATCTACATAGGCAGACAGAGGCCCATTATTTGCAACTCGGCATCGATGGCCAACATCCTGCTGTCTCAGAACAAGAATCGACTGACCAACGTCAGTACTTTTCTTGCCCTTTTGAACATTTAATCAAAACCACAAATGCTGAATATACTAAGATTTCCTAAAGAAGATGTATTGCTTCTTTTAATGTGCTGACATTATTGCAAAAGCATTTTCTAATGATCAATGTGTCATTAAAATAATAAATTAGGATTAGCAAAAAACATAATGTTGCATTGGAACACAGGAGTGCTGGTTGCTGTTTATGGGGCCTCAGTTCACTTATGTATATAAGCCATTCAAAATCAACCGATTCCAGTTGCAATAGTCATTTACAACAATATCAATGTCTAAATACGGATGATTTCGTAGCTCATTGGTAGAGTGCATGCTCTGTGTGAATGATGTCCTGGGTTCAACCCCAAGCTTCTCCCGAGGTCGCCAGGGCACAATGGAACTTGTTCTCAACTGGCCTACCTGGTTAACTCAAGGTTATATAAAGGTTAAATCAAGGTTAAATGACAAAATTACAATTATATATATTTCTAATACAATTGATGTTTTTTTAATAAATAGAAAAAATTAAAAACATTTTGAAGTGACCCCAAATTTGAACCGTAGAGTATAGAGTTTTCAATACTTTTATTGATTTTTGGTAAAACCTCTTGACATTCTCCCCAATAATGTGTTTTACTACCTACAAGCAATAACCCCTAAAATGAAAAGCAAGACAAGAAAATTGTCCTAGTTCATATTAAAAAAGGAAAAACAAGATTCAGACCCTTCACTCCAAATTGAGCTCAGGTGAATCCCGGGTCTTCCTGTCTAATTTCCCTGCAGTCCAGAACAAACAGAATCACACATCCTACCTGTACGTGGTTAACCCTGTCGAGATTAAATGTAAACAAGTGTTTGTCCGAGCACACTTCTTCTTTGTCCGAGCACACTTCTTGTTTGTCTGCGTGCACTTCTTTTTTGTCCGCGTGCACACTTTTTGTTTTTCCGCGTGCACACTTCTTGTTTGTCCGCGTGCACACTTCTTGTTTGTCCGAGCACACTTCTTGTTTGTCTGCGTGCACTTCTTTTTTGTCCGCGTGCACACTTTTTGTTTTTCCGCGTGCACACTTCTTGTTTGTCCGCGTGCACACTTCTTGTTTGTCCGAGCACACTTCTTGTTTGTCCGAGCACACTTTTTGTTTGTCCGAGCACACTTCTTGTTTGTCCGCGTGCACATTTCTTGTTTGTCCGCGTGCACACTCCTTGTTTGTACAATGTCAATATTTGCAGAAAGATAGAAGACACGCAGCTAAACTAGTCCTGTGTAAAATCTCAAAATAATACAACCCCGGATATAGGTTACACGGGAATGTGCGTGGGTAGTAGGTTACTCACCAACATGTTTATGCGCAGGTTAATATCAACGACAATATCAACGATAATATCGACGGGGTTTTACCAGGAGAAGACAATTAAACAATGCAAATCAAACGCAACACACAATTACGCGCACAACTTACTAACAATGTTATAAAGGCAATAAAGTAAAACATCAAACCGAAAAGGAGTCTTCACTATTTAGCGCACCGGTTCTTCTGTAAGTTAAAAGGAAGACTAATTTAACAATATGTTGTAATAAACAACAGAAATATGATACGATATATATGAGGGAACATTCTAAACTGAATGGATGGCTGGAGAAAGTAATTAAATTAAGACTGAACGAAATTTGTATTATATTGTAATATTTAGGAAATCTAGGACTGTGTAATCAAGGATTATACACAAGGAAAATGAACCAGTTCGTCTTATTTACTTGCAAATGAATAGACATCAGGTATGATAATGATTCAACGAGTAATGCAGGAGAAAACAATATAGAAGTATTAACTGATACAACTGAACCAACGAGTTTAAAAAACATCTAATGATCCGAATGTATTATAAATAGAAATGAGCTTGTAACTCAAAAGTTGTGGACAGTTGTCAGATTACCACATTTAGTGAATTGTTTGTGTGTCTTTAGATCATCATTTTCAAAGACGATTTAAGAAGAAAGTCAACCGACTGATGGTGGTCCTACTAATAAGTGAGCTTAATTTATTATGGTATTTATTATGATACATTTAAACTATACTATGTTGAAAACAACTGAAATATTTTTTACTTTTCAACAAGTGGCCGGAGCAGTGGTGGTACCAGCAACAACTCAAAACAGAACTACAGTGGCTCCAACCACAACTACAGAGGCTCAACCACAACTACAGAGGCTTCATCCACAACGACAGAGGCTCCAACCACAACTACAGAGGCTCCAACCACAACTACAGTGGCTCCAACCACAACTAAAGTGGCTCCAATGTGTACATACGTTATTGTGGTGGTTGTTGTGTTCAAGTCCGAGGAGAACTTCACCTCTGACCTATCAAACTCGTCCACGGAGGCCTTTAGAAACCGATCATTACTAACTAAAACTCAGGTAAGTCCCCTTTTAGGATGAGATAAGGACAATATCAATGTCTCATCAAGAATAATATAAAATAGTAAAATAGTAATCTAATCCAATATCAACATCAAGTTGTCTAAACTTCATCTTTTCGTTTCTCTTGCTTTTCAGCTTGAACCTCTCTATCGAAAGAATTTTCATGATTTCCAAAAATTGACTGTGACCAAATTCAGGTAATTTGTCAGCAAATCAGATTCACATTGATTTTAAAGTATCTTATTTTCTTTCTGACTTTTCCATACCATATCTTATTTGTTTACAGCTCTGGATCCATCATAACTGACATGGATTTAGAATTTCATTCATCCTCAGTCCCCAATTACACATTGATTGCCGATACTTTGATAAATGCTCCAGAAAACATCACAGGGTTCAACATCGACCGTACATCAGTGAATGTCAGTAGCCCAGGTAAACACAAGTCATTTTTATGTATTCTAATATTCTATTTCTGAAACTACTACATATAGTGCAGTAAAATATATACCTATGCTATAACCATATGATGTAAACTCAGCTGTCTTCCATTGAGACTACACATTTGCAGATATACATAAAAACACAAACAAGCACCACAACCAATTAAACCTAAATCTGTATAAGAAATTATAATTACAGAAGTCCTGGAAAAAAACACAAAAATAACTGGGTCAAATTCAGTATATGCTGTACTTATTAAATTAACAACATGGTTATTTGAAGATGTTATGATTACAAAACATCAAACCCAACATTGTTTGATTCTATAAAAAAAAATACAAATTCAATGTTACAATAATAATGACATTCTAGTAATATCAAACATAATTTTCGCAAATACAGAGACAAAGACCACATGTACAGAGGCACCAACCACAACTACAGAGGCTCCAACCACAACTACAGAGGCTCCAACCACAACTACAGAGGCTCCAACCACAACTACAGAGGCTCCAACCACAACTACAGAGGCTCCAACCACAACAACAGAGGCTCCAACCACAACAACAGAGGCTCCAACCACAACAACAGAGGTTCCAACCACAACTACAGAGGCTCCAACCACAACTACAGAGGCTCCAACCACAACAACAGAGGCTCCAACCACAACTACAGAGGCTCCAACCACAACAACAGAGGCTCCAACCACAACACAGAGGCTCCAACCACAACAACAGAGGCTCCAACCACAACAACAGAGGCTCCAACCACAACAACAGAGGCTCCAACCACAACTACAGAGGCTCCAACCACAGAGGCTCCAACCACACAACTACAGAGGCTCCAACCACAACTACAGAGGCTCCAACCACAACTACAGAGGCTCCAACCACAACTACAGAGGCTCCAACCACAACTACAGGGGCTCCAACCACAACTACAGAGGCTCCAACCACAACTACAGAGGCTCCAACCACAACTACAGAGGCTCCAACCACAACTACAGAGGCTCCAACCACAACTACAGGGGCTCCAACCACAACTAAAGTGGCTCCAATGTGTACAGACGTTATTGTGGTGGTTGTGGTGTTCAAGTCTGAGGAGAACTTCACCTCTGACCTATCAAACTCGTCCACGGAGGCCTTTAGAAACCGATCATTACTAACTAAAACTCAGGTAAGTCCCCTTTTAGGATGAGATAAGGACAATATCAATGTCTCATCAAGAATAATATAAAATAGTAAAATAGTAATCTAATCCAATATCAACATCAAGTTGTCTAAACTTCATCTTTTTGTTTCTCTTGCTTTTCAGCTTGAACCTCTCTATCGAAAGAATTTTCATGATTTCCAAAAATTGACTGTGACCAAATTCAGGTAATTTGTCAGCAAATCAGATTCACATTGATTTTAAAGTATCTTATTTTCTTTCTGACTTTTCCATACCATATCTTATTTGTTTACAGCTCTGGATCCATCATAACTGACATGGATTTAGAATTTCATTCATCCTCAGTCCCCAATTACACATTGATTGCCGATACTTTGATAAATGCTCCAGAAAACATCACAGGGTTCAACATCGACCGTACATCAGTGAATGTCAGTAGCCCAGGTAAACACAAGTCATTTTTATGTATTCTAATATTCTATTTCTGAAACTACTACATATAGTGCAGTAAAATATATACCTATGCTATAACCATATGATGTAAACTCAGCTGTCTTCCATTGAGACTACACATTTGCAGATATACATAAAAACACAAACAAGCACCACAACCAATTAAACCTAAATCTGTATAAGAAATTATAATTACAGAAGTCCTGGAAAAAAACACAAAAATAACTGGGTCAAATTCAGTATATGCTGTACTTATTAAATTAACAACATGGTTATTTGAAGATGTTATGATTACAAAACATCAAACCCAACATTGTTTGATTCTATAAAAAAAAATACAAATTCAATGTTACAATAATAATGACATTCTAGTAATATCAAACATAATTTTCGCAAATACAGAGACAAAGACCACATGTACAGAGGCACCAACCACAACTACAGAGGCTCCAACCACAACTACAGAGGCTCCAACCACAACTACAGAGGCTCCAACCACAACTACAGAGGCTCCAACCACAACTACAGAGGCTCCAACCACAACTACAGAGGCTCCAACCACAACTACAGAGGCTCCAACCACAACTACAGAGGCTCCAACCACAACAACAGAGGCTCCAACCACAACTACAGAGGCTCCAACCACAACTACAGAGGCTCCAACCACAACAACAGAGGCTCCAACCACAACTACAGAGGCTCCAACCACAACAACAGAGGCTCCAACCACAACAACAGAGGCTCCAACCACAACTACAGAGGCTCCAACCACAACTACAGAGGCTCCAACCACAACTACAGAGGCTCCAACCACAACTACAGAGGCTCCAACCACAACTACAGAGGCTCCAACCACAACTACAGAGGCTCCAACCACAACTACAGAGGCTCCAAC